TGACAATAAGCAGCATCATGGTGGGGTTCTCAGCTTAGCCCCATGCTATGACGGATGCAGGTACGCCCGGATGGCCAATCCAGGTATCCCCCAGGATGACTAGCTTCGTTGGCATGGGTCATCATCCTGGGCCCATGCCCACCCTTAGCTTAGAATCAGGGTGTACACACACACACACACCCCTGTCATCAGGGGGGAAACTTGCAACGCAGTCTTGAGGCATACCTGGTCAGGACCTGTGGTTGGTCATGACATGTTGCACCAAAGCCAATGTGCTGGAAAATTGCTGTCTCGGACCATTTCTTTCCCTGACCATTCTGCCTCCATGATTCTTGAGGAAATCTAGAATAAGCTTGGCTCTATTCGGGATGTAGAAATCGTCATCCAGGTCCTTGGTAGCCTGCAGTCGACGAAGAAACACCTTCTTGCGGCAGGACTTAACGATGAGACGAAATTTCTTGGAACCATCCAAGTTCTCACCTAGCCTAGGAAATCGGCGCTTCTTCGTGACCGATTGCGGTTTGTCCCGATCTGGCTCGGCTGCAGAGTCCTGACGTAACGGTGCTGTCGGATGTGAAACCTGATCCTTCTGACAAGCGGATGCTGCTGACTCATGTGACGAGCTGGACGACTCCAACGCACAAACAGCACTCATTGACTTGCTGTGTTCATGGCTGCCACCTGAGGACATCCAGCCATCGTCCGGTGTATCACTGTCCTGTGCCAATGAACTGTCGATATCCTCCGGTGTACGGAGGATGCTGTCGAAGGAAACTTGTGCTTCATCCGATGGAGAAAAGAGTACGGAATCCAGGTCCGAATCGTGTCCGGACATATCACGAATGCTACACCTGGTCTGAAAGGTCTCTGCTGATGTGATTCGAGCCTAACCTGAAGTCAGTGCTGTCACGGCAGGTACCTTCATGTTCATGCTCACATGTGCAGAGAGAGCGAGAGAGCGAGAGAGAGAGAGAGAGAGAGAGAGAGAGAAAATGCATGCAACGCTCTCTTTGATGCTGATGCAACCTGTCCTGTCGATGTTCACAAGTACTCATATCCATTATCATCATGGATGAAGCATCGGTGCGGTCCGTACCATTCGTGGCGGCTTTCTTCGGTCGTGGAGTGGCTATGATGACAACAGCGGTTCAAGCAACTCTCGCACTGTCGGTGACATCTGATGGGACCGTCCATGAACCTGAACCGACGATTGAGTCGATCCCATATTTGCCACAAAAGTTCCAACAGCTGTGCCGTGGAGGCGCGGTCGATGTGCCAGCGAGTATCGTTCATCATTTGCTGATCCATCTCTATGAACGGTGACTGCAATCTAAGCTGAATGGCTGTAGTTGGACCTGAAACGATGCTTCGGGGAACTGATGACTAGAAAGCATCAAAACCTGGCAAAGTAGCGGTGAACAAGCAAATTTTATCACAAAAGGCGGATGCCGATAGAACGAAAAAAGGTGTTGTGCTATCTGTACAAGAAGTCGACGAGGAAAGCCTCTGTCCAGGTAGATTTCAATTAAGTCCTCCACCTGTGGTTTGATGAGTCGCATGGGTCGGGTAAGTCTGATGATGGTCAAGGTCCTTGCAGAGAAACCAGCAAGAACATGTTCTCGTCTACCTACGGATTGCAGAGTTCGAATCACTGTGGAATCTGTGGGCTGCACAACCGTGACGGTTCCCTGCACCACGGAAAGAGTGGTACCTAGAAAAGTTTCCTCCATCACATCCTCCAGCAGAATTGGTGCTCCGTAAAACTCCAGGTTGAGCAGAAGTCTGGTCCATGGGTTACGTAGAATGCCAGTGGGGATGAGAAAGGCACGATTGTCAGCATACCGCATAGCAGTAGACAGTCCTATGTTCTGCACAAAGACACGAAAACTATGCAGCCAAATATACTCTGTAGTGGAAGCCACCAGAGTACACAGAACGGGTGCAAGAGCTGAACCCATGCTTGCACCTTGTATCTGTCGAAAAGTGAAGTGACCACATTGGAAGAAGCTGCTACCAAAGACGGAAGGTCCTCTAAGTGTAGGGTCTTGGTCTGACGAGCTGCAAACCTGCGTTGTCCTCGAAACACTCTGAGATGAGGGTCCTTGTTTCGTAAAGACACCTGTACAGATTGCTGCTGCCATGGTTGTCCCCACTTGTCCTGAAGCAACATCAAAGTAAAATCGAGAGCCTGAAGTATGCGAGAGTGTGGTACAGAGTTGAAGAAGCCGATCAAGTCCTGCTGTATCATGACCACTGGTTCTGTGGCCTGATGGTTCATCATGGAACGCCACATCACACGAATGGCCTGTTGTACAGACAGTACATTGAACGTGGTACCTGGTACCTGCTGGAAAGACGAGTGTCATAATCTGAAAAAGTCCTGTGGCCAGAAAAGTCGTCAACCTTGCATGCCAACAACGATCGCAAGCAATAATGGGCCTGGCTTTGCGAAAGTCCTTGCCGGGCTTCGGCAAAATGCGTGCAACCGGCAAGGACAACGATCAGTTGCATCCCCAATGATATCGTCGATGGATGTCATTCAGCGACAAAAATCGAGACTTGAGGTTGGCAAGAATGGACGACACTCCAACGGTGCACTGTTCAAATACGGACCTGTCCAAGAAAGTCGTATCTAGCAGGGCATGAAAGGCAAAGGGGCATGCAACATGTAGCGAATGCGGAAAATGATCAGCTGGAGTAAGGACCAGTCCTGTCAAGGTCTTGAGATCCCGCCAAACCTGCCGTGATAGGTCCTGTTGATCTGCCTGTAAAGCTGAATGATGCAGCACAAGCTGATGTTGCACCCACTGCAAAAGTCCTTGAAGAATACGAGCTGGTAGTTTCCACCTAGTACACCACTTCCGTACTCCCTTGTCGGCTGTTCGTTGCCACTGCTTCTCTGGAAGAAAAGTAGTGTCATTCAAGTTGAGATCTGCCAAGGGAGAAGCTGGAAGGATCTGACGAACTGGTACAAACAGATGTGTCGACGGTGTGCTGCACCACTTCTGACATGTACACTCATGTGGTTTCCCTGGTGTCCACATTCGAAGAAAGCTACGAAAATTAAATGCCGAACGATGCCAGCAGCGGGCCTTGACCTCGACCATCTTGAATGAAGGCAGATGCAAGGGTGGAAAGTTCACTCTCTCTGTCGTAACAATGAACTGTACGATCCGTCGAACCTCACCTACAAGATCATGTGCCAATGGAGGAAGTCGCAGCGGCACGTGCGTCGGAGATGGGTGACGTTTCCGAAACGCCAGAATCAGCCGAAGCTGATTCCCAGCTCGGGTCCTGAACGGTTCATCTATACGGTGGAGCAACCTGCAGCGAAGATAAAGATCTGGCATGGGAGTAACATGTGATCGCAGCAGACGAGACTCCTCAAACTTCTTAACGCTGTCAATGCCCAACCGACATAGAGAGAGAAAGACACTTCTGTTGCTCATGATACGTTGATGATAAACTCCATGTCGTTTCCGTACCAAGGCATTGGCCTTATGTACGAAACGCAGTCCTGCCTGAGATGGTGGCAAACGACACCTTTGTTGCTTGATCCTAAGCCTTTTCAAGGTATCCAGGACCCATGGATGATTCAACTCTGGTCTGACATCTTGTATCAAGGCAGCCTCCATAGCAAGCAATGCAAGTCGATCCGGTTCATGATAAAGAGCAAGCACAATGCCCCTGTAGAAATCTCGCTGTTTGTGATACACTCGGAGTGCAGGCTCATAGTACGACAGTTTCTTGCGAGAAAGCTGTATGAACTGCCTGCGCCGAGTTGCCTCTCGACCCTGTACATTGTCCTGGGTGGATCCCACATACAGGGTGGCCTTTCGTAATGACACAGTTAACGAAACACGCAGATACACCATGCAGTGTTGCTGGTGCCAGGTCCATGGATAATCTGAAGAAACTTGAAACTGACACATCAGGTCCGAAATGCGATGAAACAGAGTGGAAAACACAGGCAAGGAAGCCGACCTCAAAGCACATGCAAAGATGTGGGATCGGACCCACATGAATCTGTCCACAGTCTTGTGTGGCAAAAGCTGGAAAAGTAAAGGCAAAATCAAGGAGAACCAATGGAGAAATGTCCTGACAAATCGCTGCCTCTTCGTCTTAGAGGCTCCGGCACCATCCTGTAGTCCTATGATTTGTGGGTTCCGGTCTTTGCAGGAAATAAGGAAAAGCGGAAAAAAAAGCGCAGAAAATGTAATCAAAAAAGCGATCCGGAAATCCCTGTCACATGGCCTCTTGAAAAAAAGCCAAAAAAACAGCAGACCAAAAAGCAAAAAAAATGGCAAACAAAAAGCAAAACAAAAAACAGTCCACGAGAATCGCTTTGTATATTGACCAAAAAGCATATAAAAAGCAAAAAATAAGCAAAAAAAAGGCAAACAACACGACAATCGCTTTATTCCTATGTGATTTGCATTTTTTTGCATTTGACACTACATTTTGCAATATTTGGGTGATTATCCGCTCAAAATGCCTTTTTTTTCACATTTTTCATTACATTTTTTCCGCTTTTTCGTTTACATTGTTTTTGCTTTTTTTTACATAGCTCTGGGGGGTCGCTTTTTTCATCGCTTTTTTTTGCTTTGTTTTTGCTTTTCCAATTCCATTTCTGGAACCTGCCAAAGACCGGGACCACAAATCATAACTGTAGTCATTTGGTAGCTCACAAGTGTGCTCCTGCGATCAATCGAATCAAGCACTTCTCGCTGAGTTTGGCTGCAAGGCCAACTGAAAGGCCCCAATCCACCGCGATCCTATCCACCGGTTTCTTCTGGCCGTCGTCCAGTTTAGAACAAGCTGCAACGACCTCATCGACTGCCGTGTCAATCGCCCGATTCTTGCCCTTGCCTAAAGCTGTGGATGCAAGCCAACTGTTAACATTGCGAATGCTGGTGGCCTGCAAACTGCATGACTCAAGATACCTTACACTGTCAGCTGTCGGAAGATACTGTTTGTAAGTGTCTTCGGCTGCAAGAGGCTGAGAGTCCTTGTCGAAGGGTCCGTCTGGATCTTCTAGACCTGGAGACGGGGACCCAAACGGGGCAGTGTCGTCCTCTTCCTGATCCTCGACGAAAGCTGGCACAATGGGCTCATGTGGAGTCTGAAACTCGGCGAGATTTGGGCTCCTGTCGTCGGGGTTGAGAAGTGTCTACCACTACCTCACCGCAATCGGCGACCCTATACATTGACGAGGGGGCCGGAGCGATTAGGGACATCCACGGGGGGTCGTAAAGTATACCTTCGTTGTGCAACGTGCTCCTTCCCCGACGACATCAAGAATGGCATCGTCCGTGGCTGGCAAGGGGGCTCACCTTTCAAACGAGCATTCTCAGACTCCAGGCTCTGAAGTCTCATCAGCAAAGTTTGATTGGCCTGCACAGGGGCTTTCTTTCGAAATTCTTTAACTAGATCATCGGCAAGGCGCTTGATGGTGTTGTAACGAGCATTCCAATCATGCAAATCAGATTCAGGATGGAACTTCTTCTGGCAGGAATTGAGAATGGTGACGAAATCCGAGCCTTCCTGTTCCGCCTGCTCCGAGCGAAGAGCTCGCGTCATCACACCACAGAAAATTGCTTCCTGCCTCGAACGAAAGTTCTCCCATTGTACTGTGCGACCATGTGCCACTTGCCGTAAAGCCCAGTTAGAAACGCCCCCCGAAACAACCTTGGACAGAGGCACTTCAAAGATATCCATGCCTGCAATACCTTGTTCTCTTGTAGGCCTGTTAGAGACCACATGCTTCGGCAATGTCAAACCATAAAGCTTGGTGGTGTCCCATTCCTGAGTGGATTGCCTCCAGGATCTCGGAAGCTGTGTGGATGCACCTCTATGTTCCTGAGGTGACCTGGTCCGCGAGCGATGCCGTGGGTGTCTGCCTGACGAAGAGGCCTCCTGACCTCTGCGATGGGACCTGAGAGGAGTCCTCGAACGAGAATCCCAACGTCGCGACATGATGACGAACAGCTACGGACCTGAGAGCAGTCAAAACTGTGGTCGCTGACATTTGCTCACCTCAAAACACAGTTCCTTGCGAGCTCAAAGACATGTGCACATGATTGGATACCTGCGAGGCAACTGCTTCGTGTTGGCAAAAATTGAGCGGCTCTGATCCTGCAGGTTGCAAGTGAAGACCTGCAACAATGATGCATCCTGAGATAATTACAGGTGGGAGAAAGATGATACTCATCTATCCCAGCCGTCTCTTGACCTCCTCAGCATGAGTGGGGCCTAAGTGAAACAATGGACGCCCCAGCTTGTCACGTCGTGGCTGGAACTGCTTCCTGACTGCAATGACCACGCTGGAGACTGTGGTCAAGTCCGAATGAAGCAGCCACTTCCGATCCCTTTTGAAGTGTACTGCCGCATGGATCATGCAGGCTTGCTGAGCATCCTGTCCGCCTCCTGAATCAAGTACGCAATGGCTGCTGGGGGTGGAGACCATCCCTTGGAAAATCGCCGGACATTGCCACGTGCCTGAGGCTACTACGCGGTCAAGCACCTGAAGCTGGCTTTCGTTGTCTGTCCAATTGGTTGCTTGACTGTAGTGTCCTACAGCGGACGGGCCGTCTGCAAGAGTTGCAGGGGCCAAGTACCTGGAGTTAATAATCCCCTCTGCGCCACCTGAGTTCGTGCCGTGTGCGAAGAGCAGGGTGTACCGATGCACTGCAGGGTCGGTGGGTTTCGTGGTGAAATACTTCTTCAGATGATGCTTCCAATACACCTGTTGCTTCGATTCATAGAAAGTCACCTGATCAAAGATTTCTTCAACAGGGCCCGTGTACTGCTGGATGAGGTTGGCTAGAAACATCCATTCCATCTGTGGTGGCAGGTGGACCCTGGCAGACTGGTACAAATCTTTCAGAATCTTTGCATTCCTCTCCACCAGATCCACGGGAACAGGGGTGAGCTTGAGGGGTTCTGCCCAGCTTACCAACTTCACAGACATAGCACCTCCAATGGCATCTCGCTCGATGCCGAAAGTCGAGCATCTTGGAGATTCCGCGGGTGCAGTCTGAGTCCGCTCCTGTAGGGCTGAGGAAACCTGCGGGTCAGCTGGTGCCTGACGTGCTGATGAAACCTGCGGGTCAGCTGGTGCCTGACGTGATGCTTTCGGTTTCCTAGACCTGCGAGACGGGGATGCTGCCGGGTTGGAGGGAGCTGCTGGATAACCTGCGGAGCTGGGGGAAGCGATCTCTCCCAAAGCTCCAGCCATCTGTGATCTGTCCTGTGAGGATCTCGAAGCTGGGGGGTGGGGTGGTGGGGGAGCAGATTGACCTTGCCGGGCTTGGCGACCGACCGACCCTCGAGCCTTAGCTGTGTTCTTCGGCGTCTCTGCAGGACGACTTTCCGGTCGTGACCTTGCAGAAAGGGCTTCGTTGCAGGGATCTCCATGTCCTTTGAATCACTGGAATTCTCAGAACTGTCACGACCCTGCGAGGCGAGGAATGCTTCAATGTCCCTGGCAGATGGTGGTGCTTGGTACGAAATATCCATACCTGCAGCGAAATCAGACTGCACCGACACATCATCATCCGAAAATGCGTCCTGGGAAGGATGAATACCTGACCTGCCCGGGTGATATCAACACCCGTCGGGTCAGATTCGGATTCACTGCTGCGAGCACCTGTATCCATGGGCACAGAAGCTACAAGAGGCCACAAAACAGATGGAAGCCAAGCTGCTAAGCTGCAAAGTCGCATACACCCAGGTGAGCTGACACTGTTCAACGCTCATATTCAAGCTCCCCACTGAGCACCATAAGACTCACGAGTCACTCAGCGACCTTTTAGGTCCGGAAAGCCCATCGCCTGTCAAATCGGGGCACCATGTTTCTGAAGCCCGCTTGGAGCCGAGAAGGCCTATCACCTGAAAACTGGCCACCATCTAGTGCAGTACGCTCCATTAGCCGGTCCCGAAGGAGTACGGCTCTTTCGGTACCATATTGGGTCGCACAACGTACCCTGCAGTCCGCAGGAGCGGGTGTTGCCAATGGCAACAAGGCCACACACGGATGAAAGTTGTCAACAGAGTTGACAAGCCCAATTGTATATATTTCTGGGGAGGTTCTTGATGGCGAGGAAGATCTGGTGAGCTAAAATCCTTAGACAACCTGACAATAAGCAGCATCATGGTGGGG